TCATAAGAAATGACAGTGATCTAGCATCTCTTACACTTTCCTGGATTAAACTTAAGCCCATTATCCAAAGTGGGGCACCACAAGAGCAGCAGAACGGGATCCATTTGTACTCACCATCAAATTGATATTAACTAATCAACACATAAATGCACATATCAGAACAACATCTATTGGATGTTGGGGAAGGGGGAGGGTGGCAGGAGGAGGGGGGAGGAAGGAGGAGGGGATGGGTATTTGTATACACAAGGAGTGCAATGCACACTACCCGAAGGATGGACATATTTGAAACGCGGACTTGGGGGGAGGGGAACCAAGGGCAACACACGTAACCTAAACATCTGTGCCCCCATAATATGCTGAAATAAAAAAAAATTGTTGCAAAAGGCATTCATTGATCCTTTTTTAAGGCTGAGTAGTACTCCACAGTGTACATATACCACATTTTGTTAATCCACTCTTGAATTGAAGAGTACTTGGGTTGATTCCACATCTTTGCAATTGTGAATTGTGCTGCAATAAATATTCAAGTGCAGGTGTATTTTTGATCAAATGACTTCTTTTCTTTTGGGTAGATACCCAGTAGTGGAATTTCTAGATGGAGTGATAGGTTTTCTTTGAGTTCTTTGAGGAATCTCCATACTGTTTTCCATAGAGGGTGTACTAATTTGCACTCCCACCAACGGTGTATAAGCATTCCTTTCTCTCTGTATCCATGCAGCATCTATTATTTTTGGACTTTCTAATAAAAGCCATTCTACCAGCAGTAAGGTGATATCTCATTGTGGTTTTAATTTGCATTTCCCTCATGATTAGTGACATTGAGCATTTTTTCATATTTATTGTTCATTTCTCTATCTTCTTTTGAAAAGCTCTTGTTCATGTCTTTTGTCCACTCTTTAATAGGGTTGGGTTTTTTTTTTCTTGCTGATTTGTTTGAGTTCTTTGTAGATTCTGGATATTAGTGCTTTATAGGATGTATAGTTTCTGAATATTTTCTTTCTTTCTGTAGGTTGCCTGTTTGCTCTGTTGATTATTTCCTTTGTTGTGCACAAGCTTTTTAATTGAATCAAGTTTTATTTATTTATTTTTGTTGTGGCTCTAATTCCCTTTTCTTTCCCCAGGCCAATATGTACAAGAGTTCTTTCTTTACTTTTCTTCTACAATTTTATGGTTTCGTGCCTTCCATTTAAGTCTTTTATCCTTCTTGAATTAGTTTTTGTAAGTGGTAAGAGATAGGAGTCCTGTTTCATCATTCTTCTGCATGTGGCTATCCAGTTTTCCCAGCATCATTTATTGAATAGGGCTTCTTTTCCACAGTGTATGTCATTGTCTGTTCTGTTAAACATCACTTGGCTGTAGGTACATGGTTTTATATCTGGGTTCTCTGTTCTGTTCCATTATTCTATTTCTCTATTTTTGTACCAATATCATGCTGTTTTGGTTACTGTAGCCTTGTAGTATAGTTTGAAATCTGGTGATGTGATTCCTCCAGATTTGTTCTTTTTGCTCAAGATTGCTTTGCCTATTGGGGCTCTTTTCTGGTTCAAAATGAATCATAGAATTATTTTTTCCAGATCTGTGAAATATGACATTGGTATTTTGTTGGGGATTGCATTGAATATGTAAATCACTTTGGGCAGTAGGAACATTTTAACAATGTTGATTCTACGGATCCATGAGCATGGTATGTTTTTCTGTTTGTTTGTTCTCTTCTGCGATTTCTTTCCTCGGTGTTTTGTAATTCTCCGTGAAGAGATCTTTCACCTCCTTGGTAAAGAAACCTGTATTCCCCAGTAGAGTAAGGAAGTGACATTGCTGGCAGTCCTGCAATGGGAGGACAGCCTTTTCTGTTGTCCAGCAAAGAGGAGGGACTTGGAATTACAGGTAGACCAGGAGGGCGAGGACACTTATGTCTGCAGCTCCCAGAGGAGTAGGGACATGTCAATACCCCCAGTCGTGGGAGGGGGAGGACACCTATCTTTACAGTTTCTAGAGGCAGAAGGAGTCAGCATTGGCGGTAGTCCTGGGAGGAGATAACTCCCATGTCCTCAGGTTCCATGGGGGAAGGAGATGGCATTGACAGAAGATCAGGGAGAAGGGGAGGACACCAGTGTCCAAAATTCACAGAAGAAGCAGTAGGTGACATTGGTGGGAGAGTTGGGAGGAAAGTGTACTCATGTCCAGAGATCCCAGAAGAGGAAGGAGGTGGCCTTGCCAGCAAACCAAGAGTGGGTGGGTGTACACCCATGGCCACAGTTCTCAAAGGAGGAAGGGTGGTGGCATTGCTTGGAAAACTGGGATGGGGAGGACACTGTGTCCATAGTTCCTGGAGTTGGAAAGAGGTATCATTGCTGACAGACCTGGAGGGGGAGGACCTGTGTGTCCACAATCCACAGAGGAGAAAGGAGGTGGCATTTCCAGCAGATCTGGGTGGAGAAGACACCTGTGTCTGTAGCACCCCAAGGAGGAAGCAGGTGGCATTGCCTGTAGACCTGGGAGGAGAAAACGCCTGTGTGTGTAGCTCCCAAAGGAGGAAGGCTCTGACACTTGCCAGGAGTCCTGGGAGAAAGGTAGGACACCCATGTTCATAGGTCCCGGAGGAGTAGTGGGTGGGATTGACAGCATATTAGGAGGGGGAGGACACCCATGTACACATTTCCCATTGGAACAATGAGGTGGCATTTACAACAGATGTGCATGGAGAGGACAACCGTGTTCACAGATCCCAGTGGAGGGAGGAGCTGGCATTGACAGCACACAAAGAGAGGGAGGAAAGCTTTGTCTGCAACATCCCAAGGATGAAGTATGTGGCATTGCTGGCAGACCTGGGAGGAGAGGACTGCCGTGTGCACTATTTTCAGAGAATCGAAGAGGTGACATTGACAGCAGAGCAGTAGAGGTAGGACACCAGTTTCCACAGTTCCCAGAGGAGGAAAGAGGTGGCATTACTACCAGACTTGGGAGAGTGAGGATACTGGTGTCCATTGTCATTAGAGGAGGCAGGAGTTGGCATTGCTGGGAGACATGGGAGGGGATGACATTCATGTCCATAGCATTCAGAGGAGAAAGCAGGTGACACCGCCGACAAACCTGGGAGGAGAGGACACCCGTTTCTGCACCTACCAGCATAGGATGCAGGTAGCATTGACAGCAGAACAGGTCGGGGAGGACGTCTTTGTCCATAGGTCCGACAGGAGGAAGGAGGTGGCATTAACAGCAGACAGCAGGAGTGGGGGGACACCAGTATCTGCAACTCCAGGATGAGGAAGGAGGTGGCATTGCTGGGAGAGCTGGAAAGAGCGTTTACCTGTGTGTGCTATTCCCAGAGGTTTAAGGAGGTATCATTTAACAGAGACCTGGGAGGGGAGGTCATGCATTTCCCCATTTCTCAGAGGAGGAAGTAAATTGCAGTGACCACAGACCTGGAAGGGGAGCACAATAGTGTCCATAGTTCCCAGTGGAGGATGGAAGTGGCATTGACAGCAGACCTGAGGGGTAAGAAACCCTTGCCGATATTCCCCAGTGGATTAAGGAAGTGGCATCCTTGGCAGTCCTGCAATGGGAGGACACATTTTTCTGTGACCCAGAGAGGAGGAAGGATTTGGCATTACAGGTAGACCAGGAGGGGGAGGACACTCATGTCCGCACCTCCCAGAGGACTAAGGACATGTCGATACCCCCAGTCCTGGGAGGGGGAGGACATCTGTCTTTATAGTTTCGAGAGGTGAAAGGAGGCAACATTGGCAGCAATCCTGGGAGGAAAGGACTCCCATGTACTCAGGTTCCAGAAGAGGGAGGAGGTGACATTGACATCAGACCTAGAAGCAGAAGACACCAGTGCCTGCAGTCCCCAGAGGAAGAAGAAAGTGGCATTGCTGGCACACCAGTGAGAGGGATGAGACCTGTGTCTGTAGTTTCAAGAGGAGGAAGAAGGTGACTTTCCTGGCGGACCTGGAAGGGTAAGACAACTGTGTGCACAGTTTCAAAAGGAAGAAAGAGATGGCAAGTCCACAGACCAGGGAGGTGGCATGACCGCAGTCCACAGAAGAGGAAGGAAGTGGCATTGCTGGCAAACCTGGGAGGGGGAGGACACTGTGTTTGCAGCTCCTAGGGGAAGAAGGTGGTGGCATTGCCCGCAAACCTGGGAGGCGGAGGACTAGCATGTCTGCAGCTCCGAGAGGGAGGAAGGAGCATTATCAGAAGACTAGAGAGGAGAAGACACCCATGTCTGCAGTCCCCAGAGGTGGAGGGAGGTCACATTGTCAGGAAACCTGAGAATGGAGGACACCCCTACGTGCAGCTCCATGCGAAGGAAGGAGGTGGCATTGCTGGCAGACTTGGGAAGGGCAGATGCCCCTGTCTGTGTTCCCAAAGGAGGAAGGAAGTAGCATTGATGGGATCTTATGGCTCAGGGGATGCAAGTCAGTACGAGGTGCTGTGACCCGGGCTGAGCTCTGCACCTTCTGGGCCCGCCGCATGAAGGTCCAGGACTGGCAGGAACGGTGGTTCTCTGCCTCAGCCTCTCAGGGTACAGGAAGTAGTTGACCAGATGCAGAAGGAAGCAGGAGCCCTTGGGACCACCCTATGGCTCCCCAGAAAGGATGGCTGAGCAGCACCATGTTGTGTGGGCATAGCGCACGTTGTTCATCTGTCAGCAGTTGGTGGACGTGTGGGTTGTTTCCAGCTTTTGGCTATTACAACTAATGTTGCCATGAACCTATGCGTGCCAGTTTCTGCGTGGACATATGTTTTCATTTCTCTCGGGTATATACCTAGGAGGGGAATTGCTGTGTTGTAGGCCAGGCCCATTGAATGATTTGAGAAACTGCCAGAGTGTTTTCCAAAACAGCCATTTTACATTCCCGCCAGCAGTGCGTGAGGCTTCCAGCTTCTCCACACTCTCTGGAACACTTGTCTGACTTTCTCATTCTACCCATCCTAGTGGGTGCGACGTGGTGTCTCATAGTGCTTTTGATTTCTGTTAATATTTCCCTGATGATCAATGATGTTGAGCATATTTTCATGTAATTCTTTAGTTTTAATGGCATGTGGGGAAGGAGAGGCGATCAACGAGTATGTGTGATCTATTGGGCTTAACTGGAAACACGGGAACTCATTTAAAATGTGTGACAGAAAAAACTTATTTTCCTCTAAATATTTGAAAATATTATGTAGCAATCTAAAGTATTTATCAACATGGAAGTTTTGTCCTTCTGTATGACTTTCCTGTTGAATTTACTGTGGAGGTAAGGACGAAACGTTGCACGGAGTCTGTGCTGTGCAGACCGTTGCTTGCAGGGAGCAGGGGAGGGAGGGAGCAGACAGTCCCTCGGGGCTGACTGTAAGGCAGAGCAGAGCCGAAGCCAAAGCCAGTAAAGCTCCGTGTGTTTCCGTCACCGAGGCTGCGTCCATGTGTTGTGGGTCAGTGTGGTAAATACAGAAGGAATCTGGGAGCACTGACATAGGGCACAGAGCAGGTCTTCAAAGAGACAGACAGAAGGTGTCTGATGGACTTTTACACTTTAATCATTGTGTGAAAGATGGCTTCATCATGCGTGGTGACTGTGAAGGCTGAATGGTGGGTACATGGGGAGTTATGTTGTTCTCTCTGCTCTTGTGTATGTTTAAACATGTTTGTAGTAAATAGCTTTTAAAAATAAAAGATGTGGAGTGTCTCCTGAGGAGGGGGCGGGGCAATAAGGACAGCTGGCAGGGTGGGCCAGTCCATCAAGACTATATTTGATCTCTCTCCCGGAGACATTTCAGGAAGTGGAACAAGGACAAATTGAGGGCGCACGCTGGGAGGATAGAGGGATGAGGTCGAAGGTGGAGTGTTGAGCTGTGCTGTTACACGTGTCAGCCGGGGCTCCTGATGATCAGTTTCAGGAGTGGCAGTAACTGAGCTGGAATGGGGGATAAAGGACGCTAAGCTGGGAAGGTGGAGGAACTGAGAGGCCAGGTTATTGGCTGATCTATCCACGAGGATGTCGGGGTCTCCACTGATTCTCCACTTCTACAGTCACTCCCCTTGGACCCATCCCACCTTTGATCCTTCCCAGGGCCTGCCGAGACTCTGCATTCTTTCAGAAACCCTGAGCTTCAGACACTGAGGCTCAATGTCATAGCTCTGGACAAGATGTAGACGTACAGTAAGGGGGCTGTAGTGGACATCTGTTGTTTGTTTGTGTTTTGACACCCAGCATTCACAAAGTTTTTTTCTGGAAATGCTATCTCAAGTGTCATGCAGCAAACTCACCCCATTTCTGAGTCCAGTCCCTGTCTGTCCTAGTGGAGTCGCCTTCTCTCCAGACCTCTATTTTAAGGGTGTCCAGTCGTGGCCAAAAGGAGCATTCTGTAAAGGTCCATGGTGAGCCCCCAAGTATCTGTAACCCTGTGCACAGTCCAGGGCTCACCTGTGAAGCATGAGCTCCAGGTGTTCTGGGGGACAGCTACTGTGGCTCCCCAAGCCCATCAGGATCAAACGTGGCCCCTCCATCCTGATGGGTGACCTGTGCACACTAGGGTCAAGATCTTGCAAACCGTCATCAAGCATAGATGGAAGGCAGGCACTGAGGTCACCTTCCCTAAGGAGGCGGCTGCCGAGCCTGACAACAGCCCTGCAGATGTTGCTTTAGTACACAAAGAACAGCCCCGTGTACACTTCTGCCAAATGGCATCATTAAGCTGTGCAGTGCCCTGATAAGCCTCAAGGAAGTGGTGCCTGGTTCAGACAGGGAAGGGGGCAGCAGGACAGGGGCACGACAAAGGCAGAAACACCTTTGCTCCACCGACAAGGACATTCTTTCCCATCTTCATTTTCTTTTTCTTACTTTTTCACTCACTGTAAGGCAAGTTTTCCTTATATCAGCTTTATTTTACCCCGGAGGTAAGTGGCTGCCTGGGCGACATTGCTGCCACTGACTACTGGGTGATCCTTTTGATCTGCAAATGTCATCAATCCCGGCAACCTGAAGAAATGTCCAGGGGGACCACTTCGCAAGGTGACTTTGCAGCAAGGACACCACACCATCAGGGTCCAAGTGTGATTCCCCAGCACCTGAGCCAGCCCCACGGGACAGGTTCTTAGGCAGCTTCTGCCCTGTTCCTCAGACCTCCCCCAACCAGCCCAGTATCCGCTGCAGCAGTGACACCCCCTCCACCCCCGCCTGTGTGGTCCTCTGGTCACTGACAGGATTTTCTTAGAAATGATTAAGCCACTCTGTTCTGAATTGTGTACCTATCTTTGACCCTGGCTTCTATTATGGAAGACCCGTCATCTTTACTGCTCTAAAGGCCGTGAAGCAGCCAATGAGGGGGAAAGTGTGGGCTGCAGCATAATGTCACCAGGCAAAGCTCCGAGGAAGGGAGCAGAGCCCATCTTCCCCAACTTCATCAGGCAGGGATGGGCGTGGGGCCACATGGCATCCATTCCTCCACAAGAGCTCCAGGGGACTGGTCAACTTTTGGAAGCCAAAATAGGCCATGAGGCAGTGCTGAACTAACTCCTGCCTTTCCCTATGAAGCACAGGCTCTAGGTTACTCGAAACTTGTGCCCCCAACACAGCACACACAATGAACATCACTCTTGGAGAGCGTTTATTCAGAGCACCATGTTGATGTTTCTGGGGAGTGATTTTGCCCCTCAGCAAATGCAGGGGAAAAGTCTCCTAAACCTTCGAGTGTTCTGAGGACTGCAAGAGGTGTCCGGAGGACCCAGGACCTGAGCCCTGCAGGGGGTGCTTGGGGGGTGCACGGCCTTCCCAAGGAGTGCAGATGGCGAAGGCTCCTGACACGACAGGGACTTGCCCTCCCCCAGAGAATTCTTTTGCCCCTTGCGTTTTCCTCTGGGCTTATGAAGCCACTGCCACAGTCGATACATTCGCTTTCTCAAGCGATGTTGAGCAGGAGGCTGTCCCTGCCCTGGCGTGGCTGCAAAAGAGGAGCCCCCAGGGCACTCCTCTAATGTCTTGTCTATGGTGTCGTGAGGGGGGTGCAGACCAGTCTGTCTGCCGTCCTCAGTTGTCCAGATGTTCTCTGTCAGGGCATGGTTGGTACCAGTGGGTGATTGTCTTAGGGCTCCCTGTCCCCCTCTTCCCACAGGGGATGAGGCAGGAAGGGGATGATGCAGGCTGGGAGCTGATTTTGTTGTTCTGACTTTTTCTCTGGGAAAAGCTTTAGAGTTTCTTCTAGGGGGCTTGGAGATCCCACCTTCTAAATTCGTTGTTCCCAGGTGATCTTTGGGGCCAT